AAATCACCCAAGAGAATATGAAGGGAGCCTCATTGACCGTTTAATTAAGAAAGTAACAACACACAGCAGATGCTCTAACACAGTCCAATCCTGTAAAAGAAGGAAAAATGCAAAAAAAACAAAAAAAAACAAAAAAAAAAAACCACAAAAACGCTACATTGTATTTGGAGAACTTTTTAAAATGTGTTTTTGAGAGAGAGAGAGAGAGAGAGAGAGACATCAATGTGAGAGAGAAACATATCAGTTACCTCCCATATGTACCCCAACCAGGGATCGAGCCCACAGCCTAGGTATGTGCCTTGACCAGGAATTGAACCTGCAACCTTTTTTGGTGTATGGGGATGACCCTTGAATCAACTGAGCCTCCTGGCCAGGGCCATTTTTCTTATTCTTAATTGATCTAATAGATAAGTTTGTTCAAAATAATAGGAACCAATATTAAATTATATATACTTACGTACCTATGTGTGTGTTTATGTATAAATGAAATGAATAACAGAATGATATAAGGGAATTAGAAATATTTCAGTATTAAAAGGTACTTGCACTACCCGTGATATGATATAGTGTAATTTGAAAGGAGAGCTGGATTAGTAGAAATGTATAATGAAAACTCGTTAAAAAGTAAAGTCACTAAAAAAAAAAAAAGAATATAAAGAAAGCATAATGAATATGTAAAGAAAGAAAAAAGGTAAAATGTAAAATGCTCATTAAAAACCATAAAAGGCAGAATAAGTGTGAATGACAAAATTAGAAACAAACAATAAGGGGTAACAAATAGAAAACAGTAACAAATATTGTGGATGTTAATCCAATTATATCAATAATTAAATGTCAATCATCTAAGTGCACCAATCAAAAACAGAGATTGTCAGAGTGGATCAAAAAACAAGACCCAATTATATGAATATGAAGACACAGCCTGGCCGGTGTGTCTCAGTGGATTGAGCATCCTCCCATGCACCAACAGGTTGCTGGTTCAATTCCCTGGCAGGGTATATGATGTTTCTCTCTCCCTTTCTCTATAAAAAAATAAATAAAAATATATTTTAAATATAAAGACACATACAGATTAAAGGGATGAAGAAAAATGTACCATGCTAACAAAAAGTTTAAAAAAGCAAGAGAAGCTATATTGGTTTCAGACAGAGCAGACTTCTGAGCAAGGGAATTTATCTGGGATATTACATAATGATAAAAGGGGCAAATATGCCAAGAAGACACAGCAATCCTTACGGTATATGCAGCTAACAAAAGAGCATCAAAAGATGAGGCAAAAACTGAACCGCAAAGAGATTTAGATGAATTCCCCATTAAGGATTTCAATACCCCTCCATCTAAAATGGGCAGATCCAACAGGCAGAAAATAAGCAACAATATAGTTGCACTCAACAGAACCATCAATCAATTAACTGGATATCACTGACATCTATAAAACAACTACATCCAACAACAGCCAATTACACATTCTTCTCAGCTCACAAATAACAAAGCACTCTGGTGCGGGATGCCAATAGTGGGGAAGGCTATGCAAGTGTGGGGTAGGAGCTATCTGGGAACTCTTTGTACATTCTGCTCAATTTTGCTCTGAACCTAAAACTGTTCTAAAAAAAAAAAATGAAGTTTCTTAACAAAAGGACAGATAAATGTGCCTGTAAATAATATGAAATCATTGAGTGTTTGCTAAGTATAGTATTTTTAAATGATAGTTCAAATTAAAAACAAAATAAAACAAACATAATAGACTGGAATAAATAAAATACAATTTATCAGGAGTAAGAAATATAAAATCCTGCACTTAGGTAATAAAAGTAAACGAAATGTGTAACAAATGCTAGGATCTAGAAATTGACAGAAGAATCCCTGAGAGGAGTTTTAGTTGGCCAAGCTCCATGTAAATCGCCTGCTTGCTGTGGCAGCTAGGAAAAGCTCGAGGCTTTTTCAACAGAAGTATCTGGCCAATGGTTTTCAAAGTTCAGAAAACACAAAAATCATCCAGGGAACTTGTAAATACATCGGAGTTTATATATCTAAAGGTGGGGCCTGAGAATATGCCTTTCAAAAGGTACGTGAAGCGACTGACGAGCGATAAGACTCACTCACTGTGTGCACTGCACTACCAGCACTGCTGCCTCTTTGTCTATGAAATATGAATGCACAAGCAGTTTTAAATGCTCTGTACACATGCAGCATCTTTCTTAAAATTCTCTTTGTGATTATAGGTCTTTAATAACCTAAATGTGTATCTTTTTAAAGAGTTTCATTTAAGATGCTAAAACAAAGTATTTTTTGATACATATACTGCAGTAAGCTTTGGTAGTTTAGAAAATTTACTAATATTCTCTGACATACCAGACAAATGAGATTTCAAGGTATGCTCAGAGAACTATTTTAGAAAAAAGTTTCTGAACTCAGAAATCTATAGAAAATAGTTTAACACAGATTTTTTTATTTTTTAACCTACAACTCAGGCAAATTGATAGATGTTTGATATGGTAACTTGCTCAATTCCTCACTTAATCTATGTTTGTTAGTCAGATGATAGTAATGAGAACAAAACACATTTTTCCTCGATAGTCTTCTGAAAATCAGTGAATCTACTATTCTAAACTTCGAGGCATTCAATTTCAAAAAGCTCTGAAGAACTTGTGTCAGTCTGCTAAGACACTTGCAGAGAAAGAGAGAGAGAGAGAGAGAGAGAGAGAGAGAGAGAGAGAGAGAGATAGGAGACAAACACGAGCAGGTGAGGGGGAAATTGAGAACAAAAGAGCCTGGTCCAGCACAGACAGCAGCGCAGCTGCATGACGTTCTCTTGCCTGACCTAGTTCAGTGACAAGACAAACGGGCAGAAGAGTAATGGGGCTCTGGCTTGACACTGATGACTGGCATACGCTGTAAACTAGTTCCTGTCAGTGATGCAAAACGCCATCACACTGTTTCAGCGTTTCCCACTGAGCTCTTGGGTTTCTGTACTTCACAAACATGTCAAGTGCAAGCACTTACCATGATAATCCCCTTGGCCTGGCGGATTGTTTAGAATAATCTTCAGGCAACTGAAAGGTGTATAGTCTGTCCTCTTGCCTTCCTTTCCGAAGCTGTGACGGATATTGTAAGAGTAGCCTTTATCAAACTGGTGGAAGGGAAAAGAAAAGAGAGACAAAAGTAAGCCAATATTGTAGGTGTGGTGTCAGTAATCGGCTAGAACCAGAGAGCAAAGAGTGATATTTTCTACAACAAATTCAGCATTCACGGGCAGATGTACATTCAGATCACACACATCATTTGGGTCTCTTATGATACAAATAAAAATGTCTATGTTTTTGAGATTCATCACATGTCATTACATGTGTTAGGAGTTTGTTCCTTTGTTGCTGAGTTTTCCTATTGAGGGATACCTGGGCTACTCTGGTTTGGGGCTATTATCAATAAAGCTGCCATGAACATTCTGATAGATGATTTTGTGGACATATATTTTGATTTCTCTTGGATAAATACCTTGGAGTGGAATTGCTGCCAACTGTTTTTTCCAGAGTGGCTGTATACCCCACCAGCTATTCATGTAAGTTCCAAATTCTACCCAAATTATGGGTGTTTCTTTTAGTTACAATGTTTTTCTAAGAAATGGGTAGTGATATCTCCTTTTGCATTTCCTTGATGACTAATACTGCTGAGTACTTTTTCATAGGTCTTTTTTGGTTAGTGATATGCCTTATTTATTAAGTATCTATTCAAATCTTTTGCCCATTTAAAAAAACAGGATTGTCTTCTTTTAATTATTCCATTGTAAGAATTCTTCACAGTGTCTGGACTCAAGCCCTTTGTCAGATACATCATATCTTGGAGATAATGTGAGTCAGGTTCCAGACCACTGCAATAAAATGAGTACATAGCAGTAAAGGCACTCTTAATTTTTTTGCTGGTGAAGGGTCTTGCCTTCAATTTATAATAAACACAACATCTATGAAGTGCAATACAGTGAGATATGCCTGCATAGGTATTACAGATATTTTCACAGTATAGGGCTTGTCTATTTATCGTCTTGGTATTGATATATACAAAAGCATAAGCGACCATTAGAACTGGAACAACCAAGTTGCCATGATGCATACTGACCACCAGGGGACAGACGCTCAGCACAGGATCTGCCCCCTGGTGGTCAGTGCGCTCCCACAGCCAACCTCCCCTGGCCGGCCAACCTCCCATGCTCCATCCCCCTGGCTGGCAGGCCCCGATTACTGATGGGGGCAGGGCCCCAGGCTGGGATGGGGAACTGGGGGTGGGTGGCCATGGACGCAGCTCCTTTCCCAGGGGGACCAAGGGCCGGCTTCCTCCTTGGGGCTGGCAGCCAACCTCCCACGCCCTGTTCCTCCCCGCAGCTGGCAGACCCCAATTGGCCCACTGCCCGCCCACCGTGGTGGTAGTATGGTGGCGAGGGAAGGAGGAATGGGGGAGGCAGGGAACCATGTGGTGGTGGCAACAGCATCAGGCATCCATTCCTCCAGTGCCCAGCCTGGTGACTGTCGCCTTCTCTCCTGACCCAACTGGGGCCTTCGGGCCCCAGGCTGGGATGGGGAACTGGGGGTGGGTGGCGGTGGCATGGCTCCTTTCCCATGGAGGCTGAGGGCCAGCTCCCTCCTCGGGCCAGCAGCCAACCCCCTGCATTCTGTCCCTCCCCCCAAGCTGGCAGGCCCCAAATGGCCCACCACCCACCACCACAGTGCAGTGGCGAGGGAAGGAGGAAGGGGGTGGCGGGGAACCGCGCAGTGGCAGTGTCAGCATCCATTTTTTCCATGCTGGCCTGTGACTGTCGTCTTCTCTCCCGGCCCTGCTGGGGCCTTCAAACCCTGAATGGCCCAGCTCTGATTGCCAGCCAGGCCTAGGGATCCCACACGTGCACGAATTTCGTGCACTGGGCCTCTACTCTTCAGATAAGATAAGCAGATGTTTTTACTTTTGATGAATCCAATTTGTCTACTCTTTATGCTAGTGCTCTTTGTGTCCTCTCTAATGTAGATTTCAAAAATACTCCCCTATGCTGTCCTTTAGAAGGTGTCATGTTTTAGCTTTTAAGTCTGGATCCTGATTAATCTCAAGCTAATTTTTGTGTGTGGTGTGAGGTAGGAGTTCCAAATCTTTTTTATTCCTGATAGGGGAGGCAAGATCTTTTCCCCTCTCTCTCCTCTCCTAGGTTCAATTGTTGGGGCCCATGACGCAAACTACTAAAAGACAGACCAACAAGAAACAACACACAATTTAATTACATATACATGTGCAACTCACACATGGGTATCTTACAAAAACTCAAAGAGGCAGGCAGATGATTGAGGATATAGACACATCTTTACAAATGTATATTTTCTTTATGTAAAGGGAAAGTTTGTACTTTAATTTTAGGCAGCTAGGGGAGGTAAAGTGCTTTTCCTGCATCTGCTGATTCTCAAGTGCAGGAAAAGGTCAAAATAATTATTTAGGTCAAAATAATCCCTATGCCAAAGTGGCGTATTTTGGGATATCTTATTCTCTAATACCCTTCATCCCCATGGGATAAGCGCTGTTCCCATTCCTTACTAAATCACTTGGGTGCCCTTGTCAAATTTGACCATAAATGCGTGGGTCTGTGTTTGGATGCTGTATTGTACCAGGGATCTACATGTCTATCCTTCTGTCAGTGCCACACTGTCTTTTTTGTTTTTTACAAAAATGTTTTGGCTATTCGATGTCCTTGAATTGCCATATAAATTTCAGAATCAGCTTATCAGTTTCTATTTTTAAAAAGACTGCTGAAATTATCAATAATCAGTAGCTTATGGCCTCACAACTACCTATCTGCCAGTAGAAATCTACAACCAGGAAAAGAAAGGCATTTCAGCCTAAAAACAACTTTCAAAAAAGAAGACAAACTTTCAAACCAACATTAAATTTCACCGGTGAAAACAAGAACATTTAGAAGTTCCAGAAAACATCTTTTACAAACAACTTCTGTTTGTTTTGTAAATCATAAACATTAGCCACAGTCAATCACTTTGTGCAAACTTTTAGGTCTGAAGTGAATTTAAATAGATACAAGATTTCTGTATGTTCGTCAGAAAATACTGAAAGAACTTTTTGGTCAGCTATTCTGTTAAAGTAATGGAAAGCTGCTCTCTCGAAAGGACACAAAGCTAAATTAGTATTTTTTTCACCTCCCTCTCCTTTCCAATTTATTTACCTGCTGTTTGTATGTATATATACCTAAAATTTGGACCTTACTGAGCCTTCTGACTGTCTGCATATCAAGAATACAAGTGGCCCTCTCTATCTAGTTTTCAGACAGGCTAACTTTTGTAGCATTGCAGAGAGGGTGCATTTACTGTGAGATGTTCTTGAGAGAACACTTTCTAAGTGTCCATACCCACAACTTAAAGGAACATCTCCAAGTATTTGTGTGGGAACTAAGTGAAGAGCACACTTTCCCATTTTGGCTCCTCCATCCTACTCCTTTCAGGGACAGGAAATGCCAGCCAATCCGCTCTGGTCAGAAGGTGGGTGAGTGGCAGTGTGTGACCTCCCAAATTAGTCCTGCCATCCCAGCTGTGGCGCTGGCAACACACCATCTGCATTTCTGCCAAAGTCAGCAGTGAATTATTTTCAAGGGCACAGTGTTACCAATGGAACTCAAGAAAAGTGAGAAAGCAGGCACATCTGTTTGTTTTTCTCTTGTAAATCCATCTTTTGTCAGTCTAATTTACGGGCACCAGCTGGAGAACTTGAGTAGAAAAACGGTATTTTCCTCCCCTTTGGTTCTGTCCAAAAAGAGCAGGGCATATGTTCTCCATCTTCACATCCTAATCCCCTTCCCTGTAGTCAGGGAGAACATTTTCAGTTCTAGAATGAGCAGATTTTCTTTCCCTCAAATTTCCCCTGAGGCAGGGTCTAGCTAAAATTTTTAAATTGTGATTAACCACTTGGTTAGAAAATGAAAAGGAAATCGTGAAATGCCAAAACCCACCGAAAAAATATTAAATAAAATGATCGTATGTGATTAGATAAGATCATTGATTAAGCAGACCACTTTCGGTGAAGCTAATAGATCAAAAGAAACATCAGCTGTGTATGCAGAAACCAGCCATATCAAAGGAAAGTGGGGAGCTTTCTGCCAGGATACCAGTGGCGTGTGGGCCAGTGGCTGTCGTTTCTCTTCTTCATGTTCTGGACCCTAAGACTGTACCCAGTAGACTCAGAAAGCAAGGTCTGAGGGTCATCCATAACTGGGGTCTGTGTGATCTACATCATAACTGTATCTATTAGGTCAGACATTAAATAAAGAATGTCACTTATAAATTCTTAATGCAGAATTTAGTACAAATGCAATGCTGTTATTAACAATAAAAGTAACAGTGATGTTCCAATACTTATAACTTACATTTCTACAGATCCTTAGCAGTGACAGAGTAATGATTTTTAGACCCTTTACTACTTGTAAGGTATAGAAGTTAGGTCTCCCTATTTTATAAATGAGGAAATTAAGGTTTCAAGAGATCAACTGAATAGTTATTTGAATTACTTAGGAATAAGTAATCCCAGTGGAAAAGGTGGAGTTAAAATCTCAGTCCTCTGCTTTTTTAGAAAATGCTACAATATTATAGATGGAAAAATAAATAAATAAATATAGGCAACTGTCAGTTACCCAAGGCAAGCCTTCAACTGTAGGCTGCTTCCCTACTGTCACTCAGCTCCTTCAGGGACAGATGAAAGTCAGAGCCAACCACAGTAAAACAAAATGACTCTGATTCTAGTGAAAACCAGAGAAAGCTGTCTACTCCCAAAAGAAATGCTAAGTCTAATAAACCACTTGCAGATTATTTATTTGCTTTCTAATTTATCATAATTTTAGAATCACAAAAATGGCAAATTTGAAGTTACATATTTGAAATAAAAAACAATACAAAACACTAAACAGTGTTTGTGCATGCTTTCAAATTGCCAGGCACACTGGGTAGTCCTCCTCTATAATATTTGAGTTGGGGACATGGTCAGGAACTGGAGAACAAAGTCAGAGAAAAGAGAGTATGAAAAATGGAGAGAAAAGAATGCAGAACACACCATTGTTTATGTATTTGATCCTCACCCGAGGACATGGTTAGAGAGAGA